GACCCCCGCAGGGATGTGTCCGCTGCCGATCTGGTCATCAAGAACCACCAGGGGATCAAGGCGGAGGTGGAGGCCCGGACGGACAGCTTCAACGCCTGCATCGCCGTGGGCAACGACCTGCTGGCGAAAGGGCACTACGCCTCCGACAAGGTGGGGAGACTGGACGCGTGTTGTTGACCTCGGAGCTGCTCGTCCTGTAGAGAGGGGCTTGACCCTCCTTGTGGGACGCTAATGTGGGCGTCCTTTCTGTTGGAGAGAGAGTAAACGCAAGACCCTAAGGAGACCCTCGCTGGATCAGCTGGAAAGCTTCCCCTCCAAACATCCTGTTTCCCAGAGCGGACAACCCGATCTGATCCTGTTCCCTAAAGCCATCCAAATGGATGCCCGTCCCCGTCTCATGAGGCAGAGAGTTCCACAGCCAGGGCCAGCTCTGCCATTGGGAAGAGCGAGGCAGCTGTCTCAGAAAGGAGATTCTAAGCAGCGTGAAAGCACAGCAGGCGGTTCCCAATTCGCCTGGTTAAAATGGATGGCTTCCCTGTAGGATTTCCTGTTCCATGTGCGAGGCTGACTTTGGATACTTGACACCTTGATTTGGTTGATTGTGATTTTGGGGGGGGGGCACCATTTGTTGCTCCATCTCAAGAGTGTCTTGAGCAGAATTATAGTAGGACCCTCCCCCGGTATTTGTGGGGGATCCCTTCTAAGGCATCCCGCCGATGCTGAGAACCGTGGATAACAGCAAACCCTATACATACCATTGTCTCCAGATCCCTCTAGTGGCCAGTTCTGGTAATTTCATCATGGAAATAATGCATTTCTGGTTTTTATTTTTAATATCCCGCGGATTACAGGGGCCCTACTGTATTTTTGTTTCTCTTAACTCTGCCGCCGATTCTGATTTCACATGTCACCTATTGACACTGAGTCCCTCCTTTCTTCCGTATTCCTGCTTTTGGTGTTCAGATTGCCGAGAAACTGACCCAGCTTCAGGACCGCCGCAAGGAGATAAACGACAAGTGGCGGGACAAGATGGACTGGTTACAAATCGGTAAGGGGGAAGCTCCGTCTTCGGGGGGGGGAAGGGCGGCGAAATCTCCGAGAGATGCTCTGGTTAGGGGCTAGTTGTGCAGTGGGGAGCATAACCAGCAAGCATCCCCCAGATGCCTGCAGCACAGAGGTCACAGACAAAAGAAATAAATTTAATTTCTGCTGCATCTTTCTCTCAAAGGCTGAGGTCCCCAAGTGAGTGAGAACAAACCAAACATTATCCAAAACCAGACCTAGAAACTAGAAATCCCACCCCTCTTACAAGATCCTCAACAGGTGTAGGTTGGTGGACCCCCGTCTTTGGGTCACCCAAAGATTCCAGAGGCCTTCCCCACCTGCCGCGTTGGCCAGGATTTCTGGGGATTGCCGCCCCTCAAAGGATGATGATCATCAGGCAAAATCCAAAGAATCGAACCCCCCCAAAAAACCCAAGAACACGGGGCACCTAGATATGATGACCAGATAGGCGGGGTATAAATTGAATGAATGAATGAATGAGTGAATGAATGAATGAATGAATGAATGAATGAATGAACAAACAAACCTTAAAGACTTAACTATTAGATTTTCACGTGAGCCTCCGTGGACGTAAGTCTTTCACGGCATGACATGTCTTGTTATTTATCTTCCGATTTTTGCCGGATATGGTGGCACAGACTAGCACGGCCCCGTCTTCTTCTAAAGCCACAATGTTGTTGTTGACGATGATGATGATGATGATGATTGCATAGCCCAAGGCAATCTTTAAGATAACAGTAGCCCCAAAGCTGTTCATGGTCTTGAAGGGTAAGACCAAGGCTTTGAATTTCTAGTCTGGAAAGAGATCTGGAGGGAGACGCCTGAAGGAGGTTTTCTGCGTGAACAGGTTTTCCGGACTTTTTCGAAACCGTTTTCCAAATGGAACCTGAGTGCGATTTTTACCGATGGTCTTAATTTTTCTTTCTTTCTGTCTCTGTCTCTCTCTCTTGTCCTCTTTCCCCTTCTTCCCGTGCAGTCATGGAGGTGCTGATGTTCGGGCGGGACGCGAGCATGGCCGAAGCCTGGCTCTCGAGCCAGGAGCCGATCGTCCGCTCGGCCGAGCTGGGCAGCAACGTGGACGAAGTGGAGAACCTCATCAAGCGCCACGAGGGCTTCCAGAAATCTGCCGCCGCCTGGGAGGAGCGTTTTTCGGCGCTGGAGAAGCTCACCACGGTGAGGGGGGGGAAGGCCAGGATCGTGGCCTAAGTCAGAGGAGACAGGCTACGGGTGGATTTTCTTTGTGTGTTGCGTTTTTCGGTCCTCTATGAGGCGCTTCAAGGCCCGTGGCTTGCTCGAAGCAGGCGGTGTGTCCTGTGGCTTCTCCGTTTTTATTCTCAACAACGATCCTGTGAGGGGGATCCGGCCCCCAGATGTTCAGGGGCGACCACACCCAGAAGCCTTCGCCACTCGCTGGTTTCTGGAAGTTCTCGTCGAAGAACATCTGGAGACCTGTTATGCATTGTCTCACGATTTTCGGAGAAGAACCAAAATATCAGAGGCGTAAATAAAAATATCAAAAGTGATTTACTTCACTCTGCTTGAATTCTTGAATAACAAGAAAGGGATTAAAAATGAGCTGTAATTTTCATAATTTTTCAGCCTTTATTTTAGTGGCTTGCTTTTCTAATCAAAAAGCCTGCCAGAGGCATTTAAGCAGAGGCGGTCAGGAGAGCCGAGTCCTGGGCAAAATTATATATCGGAGAAAACTGTATTTCAGTTAGTAAGGCATAATTTTTGGTAAAATTCCTTTTGCCGTACAGTAGAGGTACAGAGCGCCGCAGAGGAGAATAGCTGCGACTTCCCCAGATAGCCCACCCCTTTCTCTTTAACGGGCGCCGTAAAGCCTCCGTCACTCGCTCTTGAGACATTGGTAAGAGAAAGAATAAAAACATTTAATCGCTTCCCATTTTGAACAGATCAACAGCCAACAAACAACCTCTGCTTCCAACAGGCTAAAAAGAGAGGGAAAGGAACATTCAGCAGAGAAGGCGGGGCTCGCTCTGGTGTGGAGGAACGATTGGTTGGTGCTGGATAGATTGACAAGCACCCCGGTCCACAGACATTCCTCCCAGCCACACTTTTCTAGAGGCAGCCTGCGGGGTTGCGGATAAAACTCCCAACATAAAAATGACCTGTAACCAGTACACAAGTGTTGTAGAAAGGCCGCTCCGGTTTGCCTTCCAGGCCTTTTCATGCCCTGGTTTTCCTGTCTGTGTGTTCCGTAACTCCTTTCTTCTTTGCTTCCCACCAGTTGGAAGAGAATGAGTGTCGCCGGCGGGCGCAGGAGGAAGCAAGGAAAAAGCGCCCCCCGACACCACCGGTGGCAGACCTCCCCTCCACGGCTCCACAGCCTGACTCCGCTCACGACGGCAGGTGAGACCCGGGCAACCAACCCCTGTCTCCCCCTTCCCCGCAGTTTGTAAACTATCATGTCAGGGTTGAAGGAGGAGGCTAGTCTTTTTACCGAGAAGCTAGGTTTCTGTTTGCAAGGATAACTCCCCCTCTTAGGTGTCTTGTCGCCTCTTCCGGAGAGACGGAAGGGAATGTCTAACCACCCCGGTTGGGTTTCAGCACAGAGAAAGAAATGGCCCAACTCAAGACTGGCCTCTTGAAAAGCAACTTCTGCATTACTCATTACAGCAGGACCCCCTTATCCATGGGACCAGTATCCTCTGAGTCACTTATCCACAGTCTGAAAAGAATAAAAATATGAAAAGTAAAATGCAGAACTGGCCACACGATGGAGCCAGAGTTAACACTATGTGTCACGTTATTTGCTATAACCCGGATTTTTCAGCCTGTGCAGGAAAGCTTGGAACCAATCCTACTGTACTGCTCAATAGTCGTATAAGCATTGTCATACGTAGGTTGTCTTAGGCTGTCGGACCGCTTGTGTTTCATCCTTTCCTCCTCCTGCCTTCCCCAGAAGTCCTGGAGAGCAAGAAACGGCGCTGGAAATGCCGTCTCTGAATGGAATCGACCTCGAGTCTGAATCTCCTCAGGTGAAGCATGGATGTGGGGGGGAGTAACATTTTGTGCGGAGGGAAGCAAACTGGAAGACTGTCGTTTCCGCCACAGTGACGGGTTGGCTAGCAGGAACAGAACCGGGGGGGGGGGACTTTGCTCAGTGCCTGAATTAGCACCCAGGAGCCGTCGACTTGCAAGGGACATATCGCCAACATCCTTCGTGTAAGCGCAACCCACCCAGTGGAAATCACAACTAGAGTAAGCCCATTTGAATTGCATTTTCCTCCTCCAGCAGCCGCCCACTCAGGTGAGGAGACAGGACAGGGCTGCCTGGAATTTACAGAGGAGGCGGAATCATTCAGCAGGCAGAAATATGACACTTGAACGAAGCCACAGATGGCTACCGAACTTCGTAACGCCCCTTGGTCGTTTTTGAGTCTGGGGTGATCCATCATAGTCAACCTTTATCCTTGAATGGGTTGAATCCCAATCTCAGCCGGATGATCATGACAATCCTATCCAAGTCCTTCTGGGTATCAAGGGACAAACAATTTACTTGCTTCTGCCTAGCTCGCCAAGATTATAGCTTTCCATTGGAGATGGGCACACACCACAGTTTGGGGGTTTAGCCCAGTTTGGCACAGTACCTACGTAGGGGTTCTGCAGGCACTCCGCTCTCGTGCCTCCTCTGTGTGCTCACCCATTCCCCAGTCAAAGCATGCCCCACTCCTCTGCCTCCCCTGGCAGCCTCCCATCCAAAGGCAGAGTTACAGGCAGCCCTCTCCTGCCTCCTCGCCGGAGTGGGCGGCTGCCGGAGGAGGAAAATGCAAAATCAGAAGTGGCTTGACATCTCCATCGGGGTTCATTGGCGTGGTTTGGGGGAGGATGGTAGCGCTGAAAGGGGTGTCCACCCATCCCTCCACCCACATACACACCAAAAACTCTGCTCCTGGTACATGAAAATATACCAAACAATATACATCCATAAAGGCTAAGGGGAACAGATTCCCTGCCCTTCAGAGAGAGTCATTTGAACTGCTGCTGTTGTTGATCATTGGGTTGGTCAGAAACCATTGCCTCGTAGATCAGGCCTAAGGGTAATCCATTGTTTAAGTGCTGCTGCTGTTGATCATTGGGTTGGTCAGAAACTATTGCCATTCGGTGACTGGCTAGTAGATCAGGCCTAAGGGTAATCCATTGTTTCTCCTTCTCTGGAGACCCAGAGTCTGGGTAACTAGGGGTGCTTTAGCCCCTAGATTTCCTGTATCAACCCTGGGCGTGGGGTCCGCACACTCACCTTGCCCCACCTTTCCTAGATTTCAGAGACGTCCACAACGGTCAATGGGTCGCGGCTCGATTCCGTGTCGAAGGGGAAGGAGCCCAGCCCAGTCCCCTCGCCGAAGCCACGTTCCAAACTGCCGGCCCTCAGCCCCGATCCCACCCAGTCCGCCACCCTGCCCCTGAGGACGCCGGACCCCTCCACCCCGACGGAGCAGATGGAAGGGGTGCTGTGCCGGAAGCAGGAAATGGAATCGCACGGCAAAAAGGCAGCTAACAGGTGGACCTCCTTTGCACCTCGGTGGGAGGGGTGTGTGTTAGGTTCGGGTGCAAGCGGGTGGGTTGGGAGGGAGGAGCAGGGGCGTCCGGTTGGCTTGCATCGTTGAGCTTTGGAAAGAGAGATCTCCGTTACGGAATTCAACCGGCTGCCCCCACTGTTGGCCTCTTGTGGCCCTTTGGTGTGCCATGTGGGTTCGAGTTTGCCCGGCGCGGGCAGGCGTTCTTGAAAAAGGCTCATGGCTCCCGATTCCCCTCACTTTCCAGGTCCTGGCAGAACATCTACTGCGTGGTTCGAAAGGGCACCCTTGGCTTCTACAAGGACAGTAAGAACGCCAGCAATGGCATTCCCTACCATGGGGAAGCGCCGGTCAGCTTGCAGGGAGCCCAGTGCAACGTCGCTCTGGACTACAAGAAGCGCAAACATGTCTTTAAGCTCGGGTAAGCAGATGGCGTGCTTTTCGGAAAGGCCGTGGGTGGAGCGTGTCACAGATCCCAAGATCAAACATTCTCAAGATCACATGTTCTCTCATTTTTATTTTTTTGCCATACAGTAGGACCCCCATATCCATGGAAGATGGGTTCCCCACAGATGCCGAAAACTGTGGATAGTCGGAAATGCTATACATAGCACGGTTTTTAAAAAAAATCCAGGGGAAAAAAAAATCATTTTCACATGTATTACCAGAACTGGTCACTAGAGGGTGACAGAGACCATGCTATGGATTCTCCAATAAGAATTTATAGTTGAGTCTCTGCTTCCCTCTAGTGGCCAGTTCTGGTAATATACTGTATATGAGAATGGTTTTTTTTCTGGATTTTTTTTCTTTTACTATTTCAGAAACCACGGATACGGGGTCCTACTGTACAACCAAACAAGGTGGGAGGTTTAGGGCTATGAGATCTATTTGAGGCAGCTTCGGTGGTGGCAGCGCTAGAAACTTTGGGGGCTCACCACCCTGAAAAGCTTGGGATCCATAAAGCAAAGTTGGGTGGAAAGAATTTGTGGAAGCATTTTTATTTTTTTGCACCGGTTACAAAACTTAATGCTTGTTGCACCGGCGCAATCTAATGCGCGGACTTAACTCCAGGCAAAACAAGGTTCGGCGCCCGCTGTTTGCATTTCCCGCAAAGGGCTTTTTAAATCTCTTTTATTTCATAATAAACGTGTCCTGCTACAATACAGTATCTCTGGATGGTGCAAGTGGAAGCTTCAGCTGAAGTTTGAAGAAGAGACCCAAGCTATTTTCTCTCTTTTTTTTTTTCTCTCGCGGCAGGTTAACGGATGGGAAAGAATATTTATTCCAGGCCAAAGATGAGGTGAGTTGATCGTCAGTCTGGAAAACTCCACACCCAAAACAGGAAGTCCTCTAGGGGGGAAAAAAGCCTAAAAATTGAGCTTCTCTAGAAAAAAACGAGGAATCGCATGCTGTTGACCCAGTCCTGATCCATTGCACCGATTCAAGTGTTTCCCAGGCTCAGGGCCCGAGATGTTAAAAGATCAACGAAACAATTTAAGATAACATTATAAGGAAGTACAAATATTTAAAACGGTGGCAACAGATCACATTCAGGTTAAAATATTAGAGGCTTTAAAAGTTTCGGCAAGTCTCTACCGATGGGAGTGTGTGGAAAAGTTTCTCGTGACTTTGCGAAGTTTGCCAACCAAGGGGCCGGGCAAAGAGTAGAAGGGAATTCAGCCTGTAGCTGAGGAGAAGGCATGGGTCCATGTTTTCTCCGTCCACGTTTCTCTTGGGGGGGTCAGCAGCCTCTGCCGCCCTGCCTGGGACGGACCAGTTGGAGAGGCAGACCCCTTCGGAAGCTGCTTTTCTGCCCCGTTCTGAGGTCCCAAACCATTTGGGGCAAGCCTTTAAATCCCGGAATACAGTGGCGCCTCGCTAGACAGTTACCCCGCATGACAGTTTTTTCGCTAGACGTTGACTTTTTGCGATCGCTATAGCAATTCGCAAAACAGTGATTCCTAGGGGGGAATTTCGCTGGACAATGTTTGGTCCCTGCTTCGCAAACCGATTTTCGCTAGACGACGATTTTGACAGCTCCCTTCGCGCTCGCATAACGGGTGCTTTTGGGACCTTAGCTTTGCAAGACAGCGATTTAAATAGCTGATCAGCGGTTCGCAAAGCAGCTTTCCTATGGCCGATCTTCGCTACACGATTCCTCCCCCTTGGAACGCATTAAACAGGTTTCAATGCATTCCGATGGGAAAATGCTTTTTGCTAGACGATGATTTCGCTAAACAGCGATTTCAGTGGAACGGATTATCATCGTCTAGCAAGGCATCACTGTATTGTTGCAAGGGTGGGAGGGAAAGCACTCTATGTACGCTCAAGGGGACTGTGGTTCCCCCTTCCCGAGTGCCCACTTCTCTGTCTCCCCTTTCCAGGCCGAGATGAGCAGCTGGATGCGTGTCGTCAACGCCACGGCTGCCTCTGTCCCGACCCCGCACGGCCCCGCGGAGGAGCAGCTGATCGGCAAAGGAATGACGCGGGCCCTCAGCATGCCCCCCGTCTCCCCCAACAGCGGCTCCGAGGGGCCCGTCGCTCTGCGCAGCAAAGACACCACCAAGGAGAAAGACCGCGAGAAACGCTTTAGTTTTTTCAAAAAGAACAAATAGGGGCCACCCGCCGGGGGGGAAACAGGGGGGCGAGGTGGGGCTAAACCGCGGCGGAAGAAAACGGTCCAGATTCGGCTGAACATCAGGGCAGGATTT